ATAATAAATAAATCTGCACCCCTATTGTTATTGCCTTAATAATTAAAATTTTGTTCAAATTATCAATACATTTATAATATAAATGTTATAAATATATCTGAAACAAGGCTCTATTTCGTCTTTTTTAGACTGTCAAGTGTAGGCCCCTATAATGAGGGCTATAAAAGTAGTTTGTTATTTTTTAAACTTACAACAAAACGAAGCTCGTATCAAAATTCTTTTTAAAAAACAAGATTTTAATCAATATTCTATTCAATGAGTTTGTTAATAAATGGAAATATATTTTATAATGATCCATTGACACTTTTACCATTGTGATTTATATGCAAATGTTTTGTACCAATGCGTGAATCTATGAATGAAGCCTGAGTTATCAATGAAGAAGTCCATGACTTTTTTTAAAAAGAAATCTACTTCCCCTGAAGTTTTTCATTGAAAAGTGGTGTAATTTTTAAAAAATCTGCTTGCATATATAATTTTAAAAGCTAGATGGTTCACTTTCGGAAAAGAAAAAAGTAGCCGCTGCATCAAAACTTTTAATGATCCAAATTATCATGATGTCCAATTTTCTATTTCTCTTCTAGTTTCTGAGATCTAAACGGGACGGACGGACAGACGGATAGACAGGCCACACAAAACAAATAGCGTCTTTTTCCCTTTTGGAGGACTCTAAAAACTGGTTAAAATAGGATAATTAGATCTTGTAAATATTATTACATCAGTAATTAATTTTGTAATTAAATTGTGTGGGTCGGTCGAGTGAGTGGGAGGGGTGTCTGCACTGTCTTGTCTAGAACGATGTTTTAAATAATGAATACAAGTAAAAGACAATAAAGAACTACAAAGGCTCCTCAAGAGTAGCTCTATATAACAACATACGTAGAGCTAATTGATGACCTTGAAATATAAGTGCTTTATAAAATCTGCACGTATATTGTGATAACAGCTCATGCAGGTAGCTGGTAGGTTATCATTTCTTATCATATCAGCATCAGTTGTGTAGGATGCAGCGTAATAGCTTTGGATAAAGGAGTGTGCGAGAACTGGGGAATTGGCTTTTGTTCATGCATTTTTTTACGACGATTCTCACAACTGATAAGTTCTTGACAACATTAGGATTTTCATTTCACTGATTCCATTGAGTTTTTTTTTAGCTTTTAATTATCAGTGAGGTATTCTAGTCAAGAAATTAGCCTTTTGAGTTACATAAGAAGTTGCAAAGGGAAAAGATCGTCTCTCAGGACGTAAATGCCACAAGTAGATTCTAGTCAATCCTAGAATGAATACATGTACTCAATACTTACCCTTACATAAAATACTTTCATTCTGTACTTACAACACTTATATAGTATACTTACTGGTAGACATTCATAATATGCTTGCATATAATAGACCTACTTACATTCAGGGCCTGATTTAAAGGAGGGCAGGCAGGGATACAGCCCCACAAGAAAGGGGCCACCACAAAAGACATATGAATCTATACGAATTTCGACGAATCTTTTAACGCTAACACTTTAAATCTTACGTCGGGTGGAAACAATGTCACGTGATTAAGAAGCGTCTGTTGGTAGCATGCTCGGAAATATGTAAATACGGGTACAGCTCCGGATTTACGACAGTGCCTCTACCAATGGCCTTACCTTCAACAAATATAAACCTATGCACTTTTTAACACTAAAATATGCATAATAAATATTTGTTGAATAAAGGAAATCAAGTTTCAAGTTATAAGTACTCTCTTTCTTTTTTCGTAAATATGCGATGCTTTTAGATCGATGTATTTGTTATTCATAGGTGGATCTTTAGTCAAGCTTTGCAAAGGGACCTCCATAAAAATGCTCTTGCCCCGCGGCCTCCACATACTTAAATCCGGCCCTGCTTACTGTTTACACTAAAATAATTTGGGGGCATGTTGACTGAGTGGTAGAACCAAGAGTTTTGGGCTTTTGAATCTAGGGATTTTCAGAACGTCACTGAGTCCATCCACCATTGTTAAGTACCTACCCGTACTTGTGGGTTGGTCTTGTGTTGGCCACATGACACCTTACTTTCTAACGGATAGACTTTACATTATTTATATAATAGATCGTAATGTCTATAAGGGGATACTTTACATACTATGCTTACATGTTAGACTAACATAGTATATTTAGATACCACACTTATACCTACATACTTCACTTTCATATTATGCTCACATAATACACAAACAAATGTAACTTATTAAATTGGGTATATAATTTGAGCGCAAAAACTGATCTATAAACTTATAGATTCAATTATTTATTTAAAACTAATTTTAAATCACCAAACACCCATCTCTACTTTATCATGACAATTTGCTAGTTCCTAGTGGAACACATATATTGAGGTTTGATTTTTAGCATCTCTTTTTTTTTTTTTTGTCATTGCATCTTAAAGCTTTTGATTTAAAAAATGATTTAATTGTTGTTGATGTTGTGTATTTTTGGTCATTACTGTTGTAGTTGTTGTTATTAGTAGTTATTTTAAAAGTTCTATTTCTAGATGCTATTTTTTGTAATTATATATTGATGTTTTTATTGTTTTTTATATTAATGGTACATCATGTAGTGTAATGTTTGGTATTTCAGCTCATTTATATTTAGTGGTTTCTTGTTGATGGTTACTGTGTTGTATTACTTGTATATTTAGTTATTGAACGTATACGCGCTGCTTATTTTGTATTGAAACGCTTCTGAAAGTTGGTGGGGACCCACTGGATTATGTCATTACTTTTGTGACTTCTCTAACCCTATCACGCCATGATGCCACCTTTGAGCATCGCCATGATATCATGATTACAATAGCAACTAGGGGATGTGTCAGTCAGCACTCTGTTACATGATATCATCATTACAATAGCAACTAGGGGATGTGTCAGTCAGCACTCTGATATTTACTTCAGACAAAATGAGGCCACGAACTATGAGTAGGAAACGCAACAACTATATTTGTCACTGACATATGCAAACAACAGAGATAAAGGCCAGACTCAGCCATGTGATACACATTAGATGTTACATTGTCTTCTCGCCAAACTGTTGGGGGATAGAGTTGATCAGATTAACACTATCACTTTACAACAGATAGTAACAGTTGAGATTTATTGTTGAGTGACATTCTTTGATTATCTTATTTAAAAGTAAGTTGTTTATTTGATTCATATATGTTTATTTGATTCATATATGTTTATTTGATTCATATATGTTTATTTGATTCATATATGTTTATTTGATTCATATATGTTTATTTGATTCATATATGTTTATTTGATTCATATATGTTTATTTGATTCGTATATTCATTTAATTTAAACTAATGACATGGTATTTTTTCTATTAAATATGCTTTGTAAGTCTAGCTCAGGACCAGCCTTACAAATTGCACCCCAATTTAATGGATACTTTTGATTTTGTTTTACAATAACAACTTAATTAGATCATTCTACCAACATTTGTTATACAACATGCATAGGAAGCAACTCAACACGCAATAGGTGCCAGTGAGCTAAATGCATTACGTATACCAATATACCAATCGTACGATAGACCTACACTCAATGTTTTAACCCTTCAAGTTCCACATCTTCAAAAGCCTGTGACAAGACCCTTGACTGATAGTGATATGCTTTGGAGAAATTGGCCGACAGTGTATAGGGTCGGCCCTGGTCTAATTATATTATTACTAAAAAAATAAATTATGTCCTTCATTTTGGGTGGCCGAGAGTTAGGGTGAGATAAAAGACGAAAAGAGTAAGAGTATTAAAGAGGCAGACAGACATACAGACAGACATACAGACAGACAGATAGACTGGCTAGTTAATGAGTCTTGTTTACTCCATGTTTAGAAAGGAGCAAAATGAAGTGATTGTATGTAGGTGTGTTTTTGAGATAGTGTGACTTTATTGAGACACCATTTGAAAAGGGGAACAACCAAACATTTACTTGTTAAATCTAAAAATCTTACCACTTTATTATTGTGCATATTTCTAAACGTCTCAACTTCGTGTTTAGTTTTGTTTTGCTAGACAAAAACCCAGTGACAATAACAAACATTGTTTCTTTCTCTTTTTTTACAAACTCTATTACAACTTTTCAAATAATTATTAATGAACCAGAAATTAAAAACTAATTATATTTCTTTTTCATTCGTAATATCTATAATTAGTCACTAAATACAACCCTATCGTCAATTACTCAATGACTCAAAGTAAATGGGGAGAGATTACGTAAGTACAAAATACATTATTGCACCAACAAAAAATGAATGTATTCCTTTGAGTCTCAAATATATTGATGATATTTTAAGAGACGCAATTCTAGGAATCTAAACTTGATTTATTCTAAATGTATGTCGTTATTTTATCTACACTAAAACAATTAACACTTTTGGTTGTCTGCAGGTGTCAGCAGTTGAAAGACACATTAGCTGAGTCTTAAAGTAAAATAAAATAGTCAAGACCATTCAACGTGACCTAGAATCAGCACAACCAATTATTACTTTTCTATACTAACATGGGGGCAGGCGACGGCTCTGGCGAAGGTTCTGGAAAAGGGAAGCTGTGTCCAGGGATCATTTGGTCCTTCTGCTGGTTTGTTCTTCTAATCATCATAGGCTGGCCCCTGGCATTTTTCATTGCTTGGTTGTACATCTTTCTCTTGCCCTTCAGCGCCTGCATTGACCCGGTCAAGAACGTGTGTGAGTCCATTCTGAAGATTGTCCAGCTTCCCTACACATGCGCTGAAGGAATCACCGACATGAAGCCAGTTTGTAAATAATTGTTCACTGAAGATGTGAAAGAACAGTTTGACTGGAACATTTCTTGCTCTGTTAATATCTTTGTGTCATCACTGGGCGTGTCTGATTTGATATTTGTATGAGAACTTTCGACCACGCCTCATTCCCAAATTTAGTTTTAATTAAATTATTTGAATCTCTATGTCAAACCAAAATCTTAGCCCAAAGCTAAGGAAGACATGACAAGAGACCAAAATCTTAGCTCAAAGCTAAGGAGGACATGACAAAAGACCAAAATCTTAGCTCAAAGCTAAGGAGGACATGACAAAAGACCAAAATCTTAGCCCAAAGCAAAGGAAGACATGACAAGAGACCAAAATCTTAACCCAAAGCAAAGGAAGACATGACAAAAGACCAAAATCTTAGCCCAAAGCAAAGGAAGACATGACAAGAAACCAAAATCTTAGCCCAAAGCAAAGGAAGACATGACAAGAGACCAAAATAATCTATTTTAAAAAAATTCATTTCTTATTTTTGCTCAACGCAATGGACCTCATTCACCTATCGTAAACAAACAACATTTAACCACGTGATAATACTGATAAAACAATGAAATAAAAAAACTGTCACGTGACAGCCTGTGTGTATTACGTAATTTGTATAAGGAGATAGAGAACCAGGTGGCTAAATGTTGTTTGTTTACGATTGGTAAATGAGGTCTATTGGAACTGTTTATTTCTAAAGACAAAGTACACACGACACATGTATGTACACACTTTCTAGCGCTCTATATAAATGTTTATGTCTCGTCATTGTTATTTGATATTCCCTTGAATGATATTACTCACTGTAACATGTTACCCTTTTAGTATACATTCTTCCCTTCATACTTATTGACTCAGTGTCTTGGTGACTCAGTGTCTTGGTGACTCAGTGTCTTGGTGACTCAGTGTCTTGGTGACTCTATGTCTTGGGGACTAAGATTTTTTCCTTGACTAGTTCCTATTCTTACAACTTTAGCATTGACATTTTCAGATTAATTATAAATTATTCTAAAATGATTTTGAGCAATTGTATGTTTTATTACCACATTGAGATTATACAAATGATTGTGAGATTGATTGTAAGAATCATAAAAAAAACATGTAAGATGGATTGTAAGTCATTCAGTCAATCAGTAAAATGACTAAATTTCAAACTAAAACATTGTTAACATTAAAAATAAATCTTTTTCGATTATGTGGTTAAATTATTCATTGAAAACAAGATTATGAATTCAAATATTTACAATCAAATAATCGTCATTGCTAATTATTCATGTGCATTACCTCAAAAATATCTGAGATTGTAGGATTATATTTTTTCTAAATCAATAGATAAAGATAAATAGAGATAGAGAAATAAAAAGATAGAGAATTACATAAATAAAGAAATAGAAAATACGGAAATATGATGAATGGAAGAAAGATAGAGAGAGATATGATATATTGAGATAGCCAAAACGAAAATAGAAATATTGAAAAAATGAAATAGAGAAAGAGACATTTGAGAGTAAGGATATTTAGACAGATAAATAGAGCAAGAAAAAAAAATATATATTGTTGCGAATCTCACTATCCAGGCTCTCTATGCAAACTGCACCATGCACCACCAACTTAAAGAACTTGACAACTCAGGGCTCCAGAGTAACGTAACACTTTAATACTTGAATAAATAACAGCCTCAATTGGCAGCACGTACACTGTACAAATATCTCTCCGATAACACCGTACCGCCGTATCAACTCTTGCATTGGCCTCTCCGTCTCGTTCTGGGCTTGCACTGGATTCAACAGTTCAGAACTGACTTCACACACTAGGCTCGTTGTGTCGGACTCGATCACAGACCAAGATCAAGACGCCAGTCGTCTCAACTGTACTTGACAGTACTCCGCACTGAACCGTCGTAATGCTCCGTACAGAACCACACCGCTGAACTGTGCTGTAGTCGACCGGACTGTAGTGAACCGGGCTCTCAACCGTCTTGACTGGACACCTCCGCTCTTTATATAGGGTCCCTACTGGCCTTCTAGAACCGGACCGAACATCGCTCGACTACATCTCTCGTGACGCCCCTGAGCTCTGTTCACGACGGCGATCCTTCCCGAACCGTCCTGTTGACACTCGACTAGGCTGACCGTCGTAACTCGTCACGGTTGACCGCTCGTCTAGCGCTGGCCTGGGGCGATCTGCGTCGGCTGACTACACTCACACCACTACCCCCATCTGTGCCACCATCAGGTTTATAACAATATATACAGAGAGACAGAGAGAGAGAGAGAGAGCATGCTATAAAAACAAATTCATTATTACAATTATAAAAAGTCTTAATTCTAACCTATAGAGTTGCACTTTGTTCCGGAGACCTCTAAGAGAACTTGTAGACATTAATTAATAAATAAGAAACTAGTAACATTCTGCCTGGTCGTGCGGTTTGCGCGCTGGACTGTCGTTCAGATTTATCGATGGTCTAGGGTTCAAACCCTGCCCGCTCCCATCCCCCGTGGTTCTCACAAAAAGATCCAATCCATTCAATACATAGCATGGGTCACGTGATCCACTAAATACAAAGCACGGGTCACGTGATCCACTCAATACATAGCACAGGTCACGTGTTCCACTAGATACATAGCACGGGTCACGTGATCCACTCAATACATAGCACGGGTCACGTGATTAACTCAATACATAGCACGGGTCACGTGATTCACTCAATACATTAGACGGGTCACGTGATAATCAAAATATCGTTGTAAGCGAAACCTGAAGCACATTGTGTAAGTGAGTCACTGTTAGTTGACCAGACGTTGGCTTGTCTAAAAGAGCTTTAAAGGACATGAATCACTGTTGCATTCATTAAACAAACATAAACACATTATGACTTGATGGATTGAATATTTCAATCAGTAGCTAATGGCCGTAACTTACTGCAGTCAGTGGTTGTGGCTAACCGCTTATACAGCAAGAAAAAGTGAGTTTCTTAAATATAGACTTTCTTTAGATACCCTCTGTTTATCGGCTGGAGTTTCAAGTTTAAATACTTCATTATGGAAATAGTTTTAGTCAATTTATTGGTTTGATGTTATAGTATAATCTTGTCAGTAGAAATTAGTGAGAGCTTGGAATCCAAATGGCAACTTTGATATACCAAACGATTTAGTGCAGAATTTAAAAAAATCATTTTCTTTCATCCCTTTCAGAATAAATAATATTGCGGAAAAACAATACGTAAAACCACATTTCTATCACAGTGTACAAGTTGAAAGTTCAGAGTTCAAGTAGTAAATTTGAAAAATGGAAGCCCACGTGACTAAATGACACCGCCTAACAGTTTTGCAGTGACTAAATCTTTTTGTTTTTTAATCATTACTGTTTCTCCTATACAACTTTGTTAGCCAACCATCTTGTGACGACTTCCTCTTTATTGCCTCTCCCGGCATGACTTGTTGCGTCACTTCCTCCCTCACCATCTCATCGTTGCTGCAAACGTCTTCATCTTCTTTATACTTGACTCTCTCCTGAAGGTCAGTAAGCTTGTCTAGAATCTGACCTTGCGTAGCGGCTAGCATTGCTATAAGGGACTGGGTCTGACTGACCTGCTGACTCAGCTCCGTCAAGCCCACAGAAGTCTCCTCCACCCTGCACCGGGCCACCCTGGTGGACCTTACAGCACGGATGGCGTTGCTAAGTCTCCAAGAAAAGTAGGTCAGGTTGATCTTATTACGTTTCGTCTGCTCCCTCTCAAATGCCTTCTTGCAAATGTACGCCTTGATGGAGAACTTGATGACGTCTGCGGCGATGTTCTTCCGCTTCCGTTCCAAATGAATCATGGACAGGTAGTTGTACACGTGGCGCTCCGTGCAGTTTTGTTCCATTTTCTTGGCCACTACGGCCACCAGCAGCGCCGTGGAGGCCAGCCCCATCAGGCCCGTCACGACAGAGACAAACCGGCCGCAGTGTGTCTTGGGCGTCAGGTCTCCGTAGCCGACGGTAAGGAAAGTGATGGCGGAGAGCCACATCGACTCTGTCAAGCTGTGGGCCTCGTTCAGCTCCGTGTAGTACAGCTCACAGGTCCGCATGGCCCACACGCTGATGGAAAACATTGATATCATTGTGCAGGCGATGACCTTGCCTGGGTGCTCACTCATAGCGGCCTTGAAGACGAAGATGAGGTCGATTTTCACATGACTGACTGCCGAGATGGTCTGAGTGGACTTGTCGGTCAGCAGGGATGAGTGGACCACCAAGAAACGACCTGAAATAATATATTGTTCTACAATAAAATGAAATTATTATAGTGCAAAGTAGACGAACTAGATGTCCTCAGAAATCTCTACGAAAATTTGCTTATGATCAAATATTTCACTACGTCATTTTGTTTCAGGTTACTTTTATTAGAAGCAGCAAATGAAACAAACATCGCTGACTAGCAAACAAGCCAAACTTTTATAATTAGACCTATAAACACATAAACACATTGATAAACTATTCCAATCTTCCTGCCTTACTTCTGCTAAAACTTAAAACCTAGACCTGTGTTTTTCAAGTTTTAGTGTATAAGACTTTTTGTAGAAAATGTTTGTTTCATTAATGAATAGTATTTAACAAGATTCTCTAATATATTTTTTATACTTACAAGTGAGAAGATCTAGTTTGCTCTTCAAAAAAAGCCTTTAGAAAAATTCGCCATTTTGTAATCTACAAGAAACTGTGTGTGCTCGTGTAAAAAAAAAAAGAATATGTAATATGTAAGAGAAACAGAATGTGTGATCATGTAAGAGAAGCGACTACCAAAGAATTTCGTTTAGTCTCCGTAAATACGACCTTTCACCTATTAAGAGAACAAGTCGATTGAGTAAAATGGTCTTTCAACTTTTTTTGTTGTGTTTAGATTACTTCCCCTGTGAATACAACTTTTATGACGACAGTTTCAAGAACAAAAGAACACTTGACCTACCTACGAGGTACAGTCTGAACATCATCAGTACGGATAAGATGCCGTCCAGATGGACTCGGTCCTGGGTGTGACCGTCTATTGTAGCCATGTAGATCCTGGTGTCACCAGGGAAGGGATGTATGGCACACACCAGGAGCTCGATCAGTAAGCAGAACCAGGTGGAGGATGACGTCACAGCTGCATTAGAACACGTTGAAAAATGTGTTACTTCTGTTCTTCCATAATACGTTAAGCCGAATTGTGGGGTGGGCGTTCATAAAATAAATCTATATCATTCTTATAGAAGTAGCTTTAGAATGAAACTCTGATCTTTACAACCAAAGCCTATAGTTTGGAAGCACTTAGAAAAAAATCAAAATGTAAAATATCCTTTAAAAAATCAAAGCTTATCTAAGGGGAAGATCTTGCGCTTACAACAATATCTCTCAATAATATAGAAGTTAGCTCCCTTATTCAAAATCAAATCAAATAATTAATTACTAAAAATTAACTGACTGATTAATTTTTTACTTGATGATGTTTTGATATGTTTAATAAATAATTGTTTTAAAAAGATTCAACTTTATCCGAGGATTGTGAGAGAAAAAATTGTTTAATTATCTAAAGGAACAAAACCAGACATATTTAGCGATATCTGTAAGTACTTATTATAACAAATCATAACCAATAATTAAGCGATTAATTTTTAAATTTCATATTGATTCATGTATTGACTAATTAATTATTGCTCAGTTTCTACTTGATCAGAGAAGGGGTGTGTAGGAGATAAAATGTGTTTAAACCTTTTACCAGACAGAGTTGATATCAGCTTTGTAATGATTAAAAAATCATAGTATTGAAATAATTGCCCCCTTTAAAAAAAAAATTATTTTCATCCAATCGCAAAAAGATTCTTTTTTACAAAGCTTATATCTTATATTAACTCATTGAGGATACAAGGAGTATGGTTGATAT